GGAAAATGTACATGGCTGATTGTTGTAGCTCTTCAACGTGCCACTCCGGAGCAGCGTAAAATTCTAGAAGTGAGTATCGTTCATTTAAATGTGCGTTGTTTCGTGAAATGCTGTTGTACTAATTCTTTTTCTTATTACGCAGGAATGTTACGGCTCTCCAGATCCGGAGAGAGTAAGACGCGTGAAACAACTTTTCACTGATCTTGGTTTGCCTAACACTTATTCCATATATGAAGAAGAAACATATAATCTACTAAATGTACATATACAACAGATATCACGCGGGCTTCCACATAGTCTTTTCTTGAATTTATTAAGGAAGATTTATCACAGAGTGTCATGAAATAATTGTGTATATTGAACAAATTAATATTTTATCGTGCATTAAAATGTTAATATTTTATGCATTAATATTTTATCGTTAAAGTATAGAATAAGACGAAATTCTAATATCCGAAAGTATTAAAATGTTATTTCTTTTTATAAAAAAATATTAGAACATCTTTTATAAAGTTTTATGTACAAAAAAATATTTCACTTAAAAAAAGTTAATAAAAAAAAGTTTTAAGCACTTGGTATTATTTCTTCACTTATTCATAATGATTTTCTTTTTAATTAAAATTTTATGAATGGAGATATTAATTTTACTTATATTATACAAACAAATTACAATAAACATTATTTATAAAAATCTTTTATATAATTAAATGTAATATATATGTAAATAATACATATATATGGTAGCATGCAAGTAAGACTTTTCTATGTATATTTTTTTCTTCATTTGTGAATAAACAAATATACATTTTAATAATATTAAAGTTGTGTAATAAATTGCATATGCTGCATTTCTGTATATACCGATTTTTTTTTATAAACAAACGAACATTGTAAAAAATATGATAATTTATTATTTAAAAATATCTTTTGTCATTTACGTGACAATGATATGTAAATCGCTTCGGTGATCATAAAAAGAATATACATATGTATTGTTATTCGAGGTATATATGTCTAAACAAAGAATAGATTTCTCAGTTCTCTTCTCGTATCTTCCTTTCCACTTTATACTTTGAAGTATCTAACGAAATTTAGTAAGATACAAAGTGCTTAATATAAAAAACATAAAAAAATCTAAATTTATCGAAGGAAATTTTTATTCCATCATTTTTTTACTCGTAATTTATCACAATTTTATTCATGATGTAACGGAATTATTATTTGTCATTCTTCTTAACATTTATTAAACATTAATAAAACTTTAGAACGTTTTATTATAATGAATCAAACGATATGGGAAACCATCAGCGAGGAGGAAGGTCAACAGATGATGGCAATTTGGCCGGACATTGTTCGTGATATCACGGAAGGGATTGAAAATTTAAACTTTTCAGATGTTGCTAAATGGATGGAAAAAGTAGGTCATCATTGATTAAAATATAATATAAATATTATAGTGTGTCAAACCAA